TTAAAAGAAATCATTGACAATAATAATAAAAAAATTTTAGTTATGTTATAAAAAACAGTTTCGATTTAGTAAATAAACTCAATGGTAAGGTAATCGATAAAAATTTTAGTATTATATCATTTGACGTGATCTCCATGTACACGAACATTCCGACTGAATTAGTATTAAAAAACATTGAACGTAGGTGGAATTTTATTGAAAATAAGACTTCGATTCCTTTACATGAGTTTATTAAAGCAATTATGATTATAATTAATTCCACATTTTTTAAATTTGATAAAAAAATATTTAAACAGATTTTTGGCATGCCAATGAGCTTTCCTTTGTCCCCTATATTAGCGAACATAGTTTTACAAGATTTAGAACAAGAAATTATTATGATGAATAATATTATTTCATCTTTTTATTTTCATTATGTAGATGACATTGTGTTAGCTGTACATAAAGAAAAGGTTGAAGGAGTTCTAGAATTGTTTAACTCATATCATGAAAGGCTTAGATTTACTGCTGACTTTGGCGATGAAAACGGCATAAATTTTCTAGATGTTAAATTAATGAGACAAGAAGGAAATATCATCTTTGATATTTATAAAAAACCTACCAATTCTGGAAGATATAATATTTAAACTATTTTTCGAATCATCCGTTAGTACATAAAAGGGGAGTAATCATTGGGCAATTTGATAGAATTTTACTTTTATCCCATACTAAATTTCATGAAAAAAACATCTCTGATTTAATTCAAACGCTTTTAGGTATTGGTTATCCTCTAAAATTCATATTTTCTACAATAAAAAATAGAATAAAAATATTGGAAAGTAGAACTAATTTAGATCAAAATCGCGAAGAAATTAATAATGAATGTGATTCTAATGAATGTGATGTTAATTCAAAGAAAAAATTTTTCACGATACCATACTTGGACAAAGTATCTGAAAAATTCAAAAAACTTTCACATATTCATGATTTTAATATAGCTTATAAATCTATGAATAAAATGAATACATTTATAAAGACGGGAAAGGATTCTTTGCCTAAGGATGACCATTGTGGAGTAGTCTATAAAATTAATTGTTTAAACTGTGAATCGTCTTATGTTGGCCAAACTAAAAGGAAATTAAAAACTCGGATAGGTTTATCTTCCTCTTCTTAAGAAAGATCTCTCTTTCTTTTAATAAATAATTCTAGAACTTTCTAAACTGGTGACTCATATATATAAATAGTGGTAAAATACATGGTATGACAAATAACAACACACAATGTCATGACAAAATTCTAATTGTGCAAAGGAGGTACTTGAGATTCATCGTTTAGTTTTTTTGCTGTAAAACAAGTAACGATTCTATTCTTTTATATTTCGACTAGAAGATATTAATGATATATAAATTTATTTTAAATTAGAATCTGGAAATTCTTGTTCTACATTTTTCGTGATATGACAATTGGCGTTGTAACATTATTGTATGAAGCATCTTCACATAGAAAAGAACACGTTTATTTAATTACAACACACGACGGTTAAATTTAATGTCAACTAGATGTAACTCTGCGTTTTAAGAATATTATTGAATTACTAAAGATGGCCAGATTGTGGCCGAAACGTTTTAATTAATGTAATAATAATTAAATATCACAAACTATAACTTGTGATTTCTTATGCTCTTCTTTTTATACGTTTTAAAATTATAACCACGTTAGTTTTCACGATGTATTTTTATATTAATAAATTTGTCAGAAATATTCGAGATGTAAGGAATAGTGAACCACTGTTTTTTATTAATATATTTTGAGTTATTATCTCCTCTTATCTTATCAACTTGGTTAAATAGTTTTTCAATCTTTTGTTTATTGCATCAAAAACAAATTTTAAAGGGTAATCATTACATCAAAAAGATATCAATTATAAAAGAGAAATTTTTAGAATGATATCTAGGATGTGAAAGAAATATTGCTCTATTCATTATAATATCTTTTTTTTTTGGAGAGAAGGGTTCTCAGATAAATAATTGAGAAACCTCCTTGAGAATATAGACTTCCTGTCAAACTCTAAAACTTTATTATTATTAATAATTGTCACATCTAAAAAATTTAATTTGTCACCTCCAATTTCTCTACTGCAAATTTAAGTCTATCGCGGAAAGAATTAAAAACATCTATTTCTTTAATTTTTTGATGAGGTACAGCCATAGCTATATCTACATATCTAAAATAAAATGGCAAGTCTAATCCTAGAATTTGTAAAGCCTTCTTTTCAGATTCTGTAATATGATATCTGCTATTGATAATGGAAAATCCATACATGTATTGAAACTTTGTCTATATATTTTATCAAAAGTAAAATATGTTGTATTCTAAAATTAATTCTATTGCAAACATGAATTCTTCTTAATGTAATCCCACCTGTTATCCAAACTCTCCAAAGTTATATTAATAAGAATATTCGTAAATGACACAACATCAAGTGATATTCATGTCCTGCTCAAGAATTACCCCTTTCAATTTTTTCATCAAACTTTCCAATTTGAAAGCTGTTTTCAATATGACTAAATGGCTTTGGAATGCTCTTATAGATGTCGTGTAAAAAGGCTGAAAACGAATATAATGTGTTATCAATAGTTGAAATTATGATTCTTAATTTGTGTGTTTTTGATATCCCATAAGTCCTCGGTAAGATCCCATAGCTACAATAAACTTTGTTATAAACTTCTTTAGTTATATAATTCTTTGTGTTCCATCTTGCAAATATATCACGTGTCCTCTCAGTCAATTTTCTTGTCGGATCTTTATCTATTATGACATATATATTGGGTCATCTAAAAAGTATCCGCGGTTTTTTGTCACTAGATGGTGTTGATGGTCAATACATTTGGTGACAAAAACCGCGGATACTTTTTAGATGACCCAATATTTTTATCACTAAGAATCTTATTCATTTGTTTGTAGTAATCTTCTTTATCCATGGTAACACTGTAATATTCCCCTTGTTTGCTTTAGTGAAAATTATTTTCGGATTGTTTTTCATAAAAGTTTTTGTGGTTTTAATTAATTTATATATTTTTAGCATGTTTCTTTTGTACGTGTTAGGTTGAGATTGTATATTCCGTATTATAAGAATGCACCGATTTCTAATATCCGATTATTGACTAATTTCCACTTTTCTAATATTATTTTTCAACACTTTTGATAAATTCCGTATTGATTTAAGGCTTTGAATCTCCGATGGAATATCTTTCCCTGAAAAATTGACAAATCATTCGTCCTTTGGTTCATCCAACGATTTAATTTCGTCATTAATATAAGTCGAAGGAGGAATCTTAGTTAGTATATCACTCTGCTCAGCGATCTTATTATTGTGGAACGAATGTTTTATCAAGTTATCAGAACTAGATACCGTGTTATTCACTGGAGTTCTGTTGTTGTTTTTAATATGACTAAAATAAATTATAGGTTTTATTAATTTAGTTTAATAAATTTTTTCTTTTTTAAAATCAATTAATTTTATTATCAATTCTCTTAAATTATTTATTTGCCTAAATAGATAAAGAGTATTTTTGTCTATTAATAAACTGATTAAAAATATGTAAAGGAATATATCAAGATAAAACTCTTGCAAGATGGAAAACTTGAACCTTAGCATTATGTAATTTTCTAAACGCATCATTTACTAGGTGGGGTGAAAAGTAACCTCCTTGGGAATGAAAAAAATTTTTTTCTTATGCAGAATCTCACCCAAAATATGGCGTGTTCGCTCAGTACTAATCTTTGTAGCATCTGCTAGCTCGCGCACCTTCACTTTCCGGTCAGCCAATACCATTTCATGTATTTTTTTGACATTTTCCTCGGTAACCGCATCGGAGGGCCTGCCGCTGCGGACTTCATCGGGAGTGGAGTTGGGGCCACCACGAAACTCTCGAAACCAATATTTGACGGTGTAATCTGACGGAGTATTAGCCACATAATATTTATCCAACTTTTCTTTTGTTTCCTTCGCCGTTTTGCCTCTCAAAAAATAATGTTTTATGAGAGAACGAAAATCGTTTTCGCAAACACGTCAACAACAATCAGCTCTCAAAACAAAACTAAGGGCAGTATCGCACTGCCACTTGGCATGTCTGCCTAAATATGAACGGACTACAAGGCACCATAAACTTTTTTGCAATAGTGGCGCATTCTGGCGGTCAAGGAGGTTACTTTTCACCCCATCTAGTAATTCGATTCTCAATAATTTCCTAACATATACGTGTACATAACATATAATTTAATTGAGAGAATCGTTTTTCCGAATGAAAAAACGCATGTCTGTGTTGAGATAAAGTATGGTGGAATAATGTTGTGTTCCATACAATTCTTAATAAATCTAATGCTGACTCTACACTTAATAATATTTTTCTTATATTTAACCCACATAATTTCATATTATTGACTGTTTCAATTCCAAACGTGCTTCTAATAAATTCAAAGAATGAAAACTTTAATTGGCGCATTGTATTTCAACCAGCGTAAATTAACAATATAAATTAATTGCTCTCAATATTAAAACCAATATTACAAAAACAATAGGCAACTAGTATACAGTTATTATTAATGTACATTACAATTCTTCTTTATTCTTCACCTGTACATATATTCGACGTATTGGCTGCTTTTTTCAGCCATTTTTATGATATAACATTCAACATAATATTTCAAAATTTAAATGCAATTCTTATGAATACAACATCATCTCCCATCCGAGTAATTCTCCATTAAATTATGTGGATCATGGTCTCCATTAGTTCTCTAATGGAGAACTAATCGAGGTTGACTAATTGCGCCTTATTAGCCCGAGTAAAAATGATACTATTATTAATTTCTTTAATAAAAATCCTAGTTTCTTTAAATCTAACAAATTTTATCTACTTCGTTATGTTGTATGGGAGATGATGTTGTATGAAACAATCTTGCATTCTATATTATAGAAAGAGAATAATTGGAAAGAGATCCGCTTATTGATGGGTATTCATATTTATTATTTTCATACACTTAATGAAATCAAATATCAGTTGCAATTTGATTCCAGATGGCAAGGCAAAATTCTTTCCCAGCTGTAGAAAACTTTGTATATTTTGAGTATAGAGACGGATGACAGATTTACAAACTACTCATTTCTAAGTGAGAGGAATGATGGAGAAGGGATCGAAAGAAAGGCCTGAGGTTCAATATGTATTTCATTAACCGTCGTGTTAGTAGAATCTATCTGGTGCAAAGACAATAAATAATCATATATAATAATTTTTAATTTTGTATTACTACAAGGTTTAACAATTCCATCAGTCTTTGTTTTCTGATAATAACAAATAGATTTGATATCTTTAAAATAGATATCTTTAAAACGGGATATATCATGTGTGAGTCAGAACAACTGTGTATGAATAAAGTCTATTTCTCTATAAATATTATTTAATTCCAATTTCAGAACATCCATAACAAACTGACATCTAATATGATCGAATCTTTTGGACGGTTATAATTGAAAAGCTCTAAATCAACATAATATAACACCTCACTTGTATCGTTTGTATAATGTTTCATTCCCAGACAGCACAAGAACGTCCTCTGGAACGTCTAAAGAACCATCCAAAGATCCATTGTGGAAAAGAAAGGCATTCTGGGGACATCCTGTTTTAATCCCAGAATATCCTTCGGATATTTTGAGGAAGATCAAATGATAGTCCTATTTAATCTTTGAGTCATTTCATCGTATGGGACATCGTAAGGATTTTTATAAAATAATTTTATATACTAAAAAATATTTTATCGAGGAAATATTTTATTAATTTTTATACACAGCACACTTTATCTAAGGGATATCTTCAGGATGTCCTCTGAGCCGTCTTTAGAATGGCCTTCTGAATGTGTGTGACACGCACGCACGCACGCACGCACGCACGCACGCACGCAC